TGCATTTTGACCCACTGATGATTCCTGTCCTGGGCCGATTCCGACCTCTGGCCCCATGTCCTTCCCCTCTCTGGGTGGGCTGTCTTCGGCACCGCCCCTGCAGCAGAGGCATCCGCACGTGGCTCTTACCTGGCCTTGTGACAGCCTTTGGGGCAGCATCGTACAGACACAATATCCTTTTGCTTATTGAATCTCAGAATTCATTTTCTCACCAAAGACATCAAATAAACCCAAACGCTACAAGGTAGCTCCGCTGTTCTGACTCCAGCAGACAAATCGCCTTGATCATCCTGTAAAGTTGTGTCCCATTCCATATCAGCCTCATCTGGTCTCATTTGAACATCACAGGAGAGCGGAGGGGTGGAAGTTCAATCTGGCTTCGATGTGTCTGGAGGTAATAAGCTCGGGATGGGAAAGACAGCAGACCTCCGCCACCCCCATCTTCATCTAGCCTTTCGTCCTAGATGGGTTTCAATATCCTGTGTGGCTGATGTCTGACCCACGTGTCAGGAATATAGCCACATGGCAGCCTTTACCTACCATCCGCCCTGAGAAGCCCTGCATTATCCTCTGCATAGGGAGTGGGGCACCGAAGAGCCCCTGAGATGAGAAAGCAGGCGCCCGCTGGGCTGAAAATATGTACGATATGTGCATTTGAACGTTTGTCGATAAATATTAGCCACGGTCGCTTGTACTGAGATTGTTGCTGATGTTAATTCATTGATCTTATGAAGGGTATTTTTTCATTTTCTATGATATAGCCACTTGTATAATAAAAAAGTTTTAAAAACTGTTAAGTACAGTGCAGCTCCATTTGTTGCTGTCACTAGCAAGCTGTCCCTGGGAGGCTTTAAGAATGGGCTGGAATTCTGGGGATTCTGCAGGCACGTGCACACGGCCTGGGGCGGCACACTTCCCCTCCCGTCAAAGAAGTTGTAATTGGCCTTTAATAAAACGTGGGCACGGAAGTGTTTCGCTACTGAGATGATGCAAATCAAACTGACTGGAGGGCACAGACCCAACAGCTGAGCCTGTCAGTTCCTGACTCCCTTCGCCCCCTGGATGGTCCCAACTTACAGTGACCAAAAGGACACAGCTTCCGTCCTCACTTTGTAGTCTTCTGCTTGGAGCTCTGGCTCTCAGAAAGCAGCCAAAGTCAACATAAAGAACTACCCAGTCCAGTCGTTTTACACATATGTACACACACACATACAGGCTCTTCTGGCAATTCCGAAAATCTTCCTTTAGGAAGGTCTGTTGCTTCAGCAATAGTTACTGATATTTCAAACAGTGGAAGTATTCATTAGGGCCCATCCAATGAATGCATGTATTTATGAAGTTTTATTAAGTGGCTAAGTGTCTCATTTAAAATGAATACTTTCTGGCCCCTTTGGGTTTGTGGACGCATAGAATCTGACAGTGACGGGAGTGGGTCAATAGAGTAGCTCGAGTGGCTAGTTCCTAATTCTTCTAGGAAAGAGAGTTTCTGGTGATGAAAAAATGCCAGTCAGGGAGGCAGAAGAGACAGGCTTAGTCTCAGCTCTGCCTCTTCATGTTGCTGGGTGATCGTAGGCAAAATGCTGAACCTCTCTGAGCCTGTTACCATCTCGGAAAAAAGCAGAGAGAGTGATTGTGTGTGTGTGTTGTTCTAGGAAAACTTAGTGTGCCTTCCAGAATTACAAATACTATGATTATATTAAAATTGACCAAGATCAAAGGTTATTGATTTTTTTCCTGATAGTTATCACAGGGTTAGAGAAGAGTACAGTTCACAATCCACCTTGCTTTGGGGCATAAGATTTCTGGTGAATTGCAATTCTAGCAGATTTGTGTTACACTGAATATCTTCAATGTCTGGACCAGGGAACAGAGGAAGACTGCCTCACTCACCCCCTCCTGAGAGGCTGGGATCCTTGGACCCCAAAGGGCCAGAGGGGCAGCTGAAGTCACTGGGCAATGATCCAGCCTCTCCTAAAGACAGAGTCCTATGGAAAAGGGGTCCTGTTTCTTTGATATACTAGTAATATCTCAAGATAAAAGGAGGCTCTGTATTTTGAAGGTTTTTCAAATTTGCATCAGAATCCGTTGGTGGGCTTGTTAAAACAGACTGCTGGCCCCCCACCCAGAGGTTCTGGTCCAGTAGGTCATGGGTGGGACCCCGGGTTTATATCTCTAACAAGTTCCCAGATGATGCTGATGCTGCTGGTCCAAGGACGGTGATTTGAGAACTATAGCTCTAGAACAGTAACAAGTATTCACTTAAAAGTGGGGAGAAGGCGAAGAGAAGCAGCTTTTAAAGTGGTTTTCTATCAAGTCCCTCTAAGGACTTCTCATTTACCCTTTTTCTGAAAACCGGGAAGAATCTGAAACTACTGCCTAGCAGACACCAGGACTGAGGGAAGCCTTGCGATGATCAACTATGTAGTCCCTAAGAGTTTACCTTAAAAAAAAAAAAAAAAATCTTAGTGCTAAAATAGCAGCTCAGGTTTTAAAACCAGCTTTTGAAATGTGCTCATGTGCTAGAATTTACATACATGAAATCTACATGCCTTCTAAAATGAGTCATTTCCATGAGACACCCGGCTCAGAGGAACTATTCATTTTACCATTTTGGTGCTTTACTGGGTGCTTTGGGGAGCTTGGGGCCGTGGGTAAAAAGATAAAGCACATAAAACCCTGTACGCCACCATGACAGAGGGCAGTGAGGCCCAGGGGTGGGGGGTGGGGCAGTGTAGAGAGGCAAAACACTTGCCATCAGGGCAAGTTACCACGGTCCCCATCTCCTACCGGTCCCAGACCTGTGAGGGAGACAGAATTAGCCGTTCTGTCACTTTTTGGAGATTCCCTCCCCCCACGTTCAGGGGAACATCTTGCCATTCTCAGATTCCTTCTCTTAACTTAAATAAAGAAAAGGCTACATACGCATCACTGGAGGAAAATGTCTGTATTAAAAGCCAAAAAAACACAGAAGTACAAGAAGAAATGCCCACCAGGCCACGTCACTGGATAGATCAACTTGGAAAAGGTTCATAAAGTTCGTTTCCAGCGGTAACAATAAATCGGTGTTAAATCATTCCCATGCCCCCCCCTCCTCACTTTTAAATAAATTAAAAAAAAAAAACCAACAAACTTCAAATACTATGTTCGGATACAAAGAGCTTCTCTTACTACAGCAATAGCAATTTGATTTTTTTTTTTTTTTACTAAAACTTTCATTTAAAACAGTTATTAAATATATAAAACAAATACACAGGATTTGGTCATTTTCTGCCATGAATATAGGGCACGTGGGTGCGGGAGGGAGGAGGGCAGGGGGATGCAACAGAGGGGAAAGGGCCCCGTTTCCCTCCTCTCCATCTTCCCAGCTGCGGACCCCACCCTTCAGTGCAAGGGCTGGCATCTTTTGGGAACCAGGGCGCCGCACAAACCTTGCTTTTCAAACACGCTGGGGCCTCTCTGGCGGCCCCCTCCCCGGAAGAAGAACTAACGGTCACTACAGCACGAAGCACACCGGCCGAGTCTCCCAGCGGGAAAAGACCCCCCGAGAGCGCGGACACCGGGCGGACGCAGGGAGGAGCGGAGCGGGTCACTTGGTCGCCGCCCCCGAG